AGCCAGCATGGCTGGCTGAAGAATTCTGGGAGGTGAAGTCCACACATCTTCAAGCTGCCAAGGTTGAGAAACAGTGATCTAGAGACTTCAGTTATGGCAGCATGGTGTTCAGGTTGCCAGACAACCCTGCTAATATTATCAATCTTGTTGTTACTTAATTTCCTAGCACAATACAAGGTGACTTATTTATGTCAATTGCATGATAAATTTTATTGCATCTTTTTGGTGTCTACTCATCACTCATTCTACTAATGTTGATATATGCTTTTCAGGTGCTAGTTCCTGCCTTTAACTCCCCCACCCCCAAGAGTTTAGTGCTTCTGTACTCAAAGTCCTGCTTTCTCCTACATGAATCTCTCCAAATATTGGGATTGTCCACAGAAGCCCTTTTCCATCCTCCTCCAGTGTCTGAAGTGTGGCAGATGGCAATTATCTCTCTTCTGTTTTGATACTCACCCGTGGCATGGTCTCTCCCTGAAATTTTACCTGGCATTGGTTTCTGGATGCTCATTTCTTTTTCATTGCCCAGGCCATTAAGTTGATTAAAAAATTTTTTTTCAGGGCTGAGATTTCTCTGGTGCTGCAATTTTCATGCACTGTGTATTAGCCAGACTCTATTTAAATTGCCAGCAGTTCTGATTAAACAGAATGATAAGAAATGCAATGACAACAACAGTCACGGACACCAGCATTTTGTACTCTAATCTTTGTCCTACTTTATTCAGACTAATGATCTTGATGCCAGCTACAATTATAAATACAGGCAGAAGATTAGGAACCTTTCAGGGGAGAGATCCCATGGGAAGTAAAGCTTGATGTACTTCTGTAGCTAGAGGCTAAAAACAGTTACTTCCTTGCCCAGGTTCAGGTATCTAAGCTAACATGTGGCTCTCAGATGCCAGATTTGATTCTCAGTTGTGACTAACTAGAATACTGAGTCATTGTTTATTCCATTTGATAAGAATCACACAATCAGGGACTAGAAAACTTAGGTGATGGACTTGATCTCATGTTAGATTCAGTTGCTGTGAAGACAGCATTTTCTTCCTCAAGTTTGTAGGATTGAACTCCTGGATGACCGGAAGTTGCTGAAAGTATTTGTGGCTCTGCTTATTTGCTTAAGTCCTCTGGATTTATTTGCATTCTGAATACATATTCAAGTGCATTGTTCATCTATGCAAAGGGCTATGAAGGGCTGATAGGTGGATAATGATGCTGGGTGTGGTCAAGAGAATTAGTAGAATTGAATTGGTTGGCATATTGATGCTCCCTGAAGAAGAGTTCACCAAAATTCCACACCAATAGAACATTTAGAGTTCTGATTTGTCAAGCCAATGTTCCAAAACAGCTAAAATTTGCTTGCTTTCAACATAAAACACATCTCTGCAGTTTAAATTTTCTTGAAATCGGCTTATGGATCTATTCATTAGCAATATATGTCTTGGTGTTTTTACTAAAATCAAGTTTCAGAGTTTAGGATCAGTAGATGGCTACTCAAGAGTCCAGTTTCCTTAAATTTTATTTCCAATTCTTTGATTCTTACAAGCTATTTCAGACCAGTTGTTTTTGAATATCAACAGGTCCACTGATCCTTAGATATGCATTTACCCACTGATCACAAATACTGTTAGTATGACAGTTATTGAGAATTGGACTAGGATCACAGAGATATTTTAGTTTTATTTTCCACTCTATCATCACTCAGCCTGACTTTCCGTCATGATCACTGAAAAGATTAAATGATACTGTGCAACCTCTAAATTTGAAGGCAGAATTCCACTGAATACCTGCTTCTAGGAAATGGTTTGTCATGGTCTGTCAACTTCTAACTGCCCTAGCCGCTGTGAGAAACATGATCCTGGACTACTTAGAACTTTGACTTGATCACGTAGGGTCTTCTGATCCTTAGGATGGCACATATGACTAAGATCTTTCAAGGAACAAAGCAACATATATTTAATTAATACATAAATAAACATGCAATAGACAAATATTTGTATTGACCAATAAGGTGAAGGACCTTGATTACAGAGGTGTTTATTCTACCACCGGAAGACCTGAAAGGCCAGGTTGGGGACATATCATCCTGGAGAAGGGCTATCTATGTGGTAGTTAAGATTGCTCCACCGTCCATTTTTTTTAATGGATGGTGATGTCATATGCTAATGCACCAAGGTAATTTAGAATTTGTCCTTGCTCTGGTAAGGTTTTTAGACTGACTTTTGTCTGTGATAGATATTTAATTTATTTGTCTATTTGTTTATTATTGGATTGATACCCTCACAGAGAAGAATAGATAATCAGGAAAATAGTTGTCAGACAACCATCTGCTATTTTTGTTTGTTCAGTTACATTTCACCTGGCTAATAATCTCTTGCTAAAGTTCAATATAATTGTTACAAGCCATCAGACCAGACATTTCAAGTATTCCAAGGAGCCAAAAGGACGTTCTTGAAATACTTCCCATTGAGTATAGTCTCATTTGCTTCCCAAGATTTTAGTCAAAAATATTTTCATTGAACACATCTAATAACCTTTGCTTACCCTAATCACAAATTTTGCTACCCTTGACTCCAAGCTGATCTTTCTGATAATTCATGAATTCTCAGCTGGGCTAGTTCTAGAAATGCATATATTTACTGGAAATTTAATATTTTCTCTGGCCTGTCAGAAATGTTGTAGACATCGGAATGGTTCAATGGGATTTGAAATAAATGAGGCGAGTCAAGGGAGTAGACTTTAGCTGGGCTACTGTCAGGACATTTCCTGCTCCTAAGTTAAAAGTGCCCTCCACTCATCCTTGAATCAGTAGAAGACAATACCAGCATAATCTTTGCTGATCCCTATCCTGCCTCTATTTTCTCTGTTCTGCTTGTGGCCAGTTGGTGATGCCCTCCTGATGCATCTGCAGGATTGGTTTAAGCAAAGTGATTGGTTCAACCTTCAGGGTTTGCTGCCCTCCTTCTGAATGTCACCAATAGGCGGGAAAACATCCACTAAGCACAACAACAATTCTGGGAAGAGACATGTTTTCATGTTTAAGCTTTTACACCCTTTCTCTCAACAGATAAAGGCTAAGCACTGAATGGTGACCAGATTCACAAAGGTATCTGAGTTGCACAAATACTTACACAATCCCATCGCCATCCAAAGCACACAGATATAGACTTCCTTTAGCACTAGGGGCAAAGGAGCCATTTGCCCTACCATTAGCAAAACGTGGCAACCACCTCAGGCGGCAGATGCTGGTATGTATGGGTTA